GTATCTTGAGATGTGCTTTGTCTTATATAACATTTATTTCATATGCAAATTGTGTAGCAATAAGAAAATGTGTATCCTATATTTAAACCATACAATATGCATAGTTATTCATATTTGCCCAAGCCTCTCCTACATTTATATTTCTCTAGATCTGTTCCTGTAAAAAGCTGCAAGCTGTGAAACAGCCAGTACTTTGCTATCTGAAGGACAGACTATGAAGAAAAATAAAATACACACATACAGTATATCAAGAGTATATAGTTAATATGAAAATGACTGTGATTTTAAAGAACATTGCACAGTGATAATAACTCTGCGTTTCGTGTCTCGATCTAATGACACATTGCTACTATATGCTCTCAAATGCAATATAACTCAGAGATATTTTGTTGTTAGTTTACACAATATACTCAACTAAATAGAATACTAATATTATACTATACATAAAGTGGCAGAGTGGTTGACATCACTGGTAGAATTTAACAAAGTAAAAATAGTATTGTACTTTACAAATTTGGCATCTGTATTTTAATTAAGTACATTTTAAAGTGGATACTTTTTTACTTTTACTTCTACATTTTTGAACAGGACTCAGAAGTAAAAGTATCTGTACTTGAACCAAATGAACAAAACTGAGTGCTTCTTCCACCACTGGTTGACATTCATCTATGCTTAGAGATTCAGCTCTGCCCTTCTTCAGCAATTTTCCATTATCCAAAGACATGCAAGTTTTAAAGAAATTAATCTACATAAATTGGCTGTGAGTTTCCAGCAACTTGTCACTTATGTACTCTACTATTGGGATTCACATTTATCACGCTGAACAGGCATGTTAAATAATGTATATATAATTTATAACTTCATATTAAAGATGATCATATTAAGGGTGAGATGCATATAATTCATTGTGCACATTATCGAACTGTGCATTGATCTTAGTGGCGGCCATCTTTCTTTCTTTGTGGCTGTGTCTGTGTGCATCTTTCATGTGGAGAGATGTAGGTGGTGTCAGCGCTGCATCCGTCATCTCTCATTAGCAAACATGTGCGTGTGTCTGTACCTATACTCACCATCTGGGAGTCACGCCGCAGGACTAATATTTGGGCTAATTAACAACCCCGAGAACAATGAAGGGGAAGACATTTGGGATGCAAAGGGGAAAATTTGCTTTGTCTGCTTAATTAAAATCTCTTAAAATAGGACATTACAACGTTCCCGGCACCTCTTCCACCTCCCAGGGCTTGTCCTCCTCCACCACCATATGCAGTAACTGTATTTTGCCACCGGGTGGTACACCATGCATGGATAAGTGAGAGGTGGGGTAATTCTTTTGACAGCTCCTCAGCCTGCTGTTGCCTGCATCGTCCCACCAGTGCAGAGACAATCTGGACACATCCATACAGCAGGAAGCACCCAGACCCACACTCCAGGATCAGGGGGACTGTGCCAGTCTCCACAGACTGAGAACACTTAAGGGACAAGAGGCTTGGACAGAGGGACCAAGATGAAGAGGTGGAGATCTTTCATTCCTCTGATAAATATTCAGCCTCTTCTTGTATGTGGTTTGCAGGGTGCCAGATGCATCTGTTCTGCCTTTGTTTGCACATAGTGGGTTAGAATAACTAGTAATGGAAAGTAATTATCATTTTGCAGTATTTGCTGCCCACACTTCCTGCCTCATTTCCTGTCACTCCTTGGTACAATTACACATCTGCAAAATCACAGCGACATTCAACATTTTAGATCTGAAATCTTCACTTGTATTCTTTTTGTTTTAACTCCCAAACCACAAGGTTACTTGGCCCTTGATGACGGTTAGTCCTGCTGTTACTTAACATTGAGGCATGTCCTCAGTGATACATAGGTTGTTTTATAATGTTTTACAACTTCCTCCTCCTTGTTCATGGGCATTCTTATGTATTGGCTGAATAGCAAAATCAAAATGCTTCCACAGCTTAAGCAGATGTGTCCCACTTGAGGTCCATGCTTTAACACAAATAAACAATAAATCCTTTCAGTTTGTAAAGACTTGGCTCAGACAGTGCCGTAGAATGATATGCATGTAGACAGAAGTGTGTGGGTTGTGTTACATTTTACTGGAGATAATTCTTCCTATAGAGGCTCCAGTGTGTGCTCTGTACCACACTGTGATAATGGAGTCATTGGCCAGGCTCTTTTTGACATTTGCCTTGATTACACATAATGTTAACTGTTCCCCTCCTTTACTGCTGCTGCTCCTCTGGGATTGGAGCACAAAGTCACACAGTTCAGCATTGTAAGAGGGTCACCACTTGAATAAGATACAGCTCAAATTAATTTTACATAATCTACAAGGGCAATGTATAAATAGTAAATGTATACTCTTTCATTGTGGCATACTTCCAAATCCCAGGTGAGTAATACATGTAAGTGGGTAACCTAGTATTACTTAGGCCATGAGTAATGGTTTAGTTATGTTGATGGATTTCATTGATTTGTTAGCCGTTTAGAAAAACATATCTATATTTAAAGGAACTATATGTAACCTGCACTCCTCTGCCCAGTTTTAAAAAAGCTACTGCAATCACAACTGAATCAAGGTGGCTAGTGCCTTAAGCAGCACACATACAAGTTGTTCACATTTGGGGCACAGTGCTAGTCAGGCTGGCGCCACCTAGTACCTCCGCTTAATTTCATTCCTCTCCAGCAGCTAGGTCAGGAATCGGAATAGACCATTTGCAAGGACCCTGGAAGTTGTAGACCACGCAGTGGCCAATCAGTGAAGAGCTGAACCAACCCAAGTTGGGATAGCAGATTAAATACGCTATCCTCCTTTGGACTTTCTTTGTCAAATACAAACTTAGCATTTTTTATTGTGCCTTTAATTTGCAAGTTCATCTCGCAGAAACAACAATGATCATTGACAGACATGTTCACTCTCTGCTTTGTTTGCTGTTGTGCCAGCAATTACTTGGACACCACTGAGCATTCTGGTGCATTACATATGTCATGACTAAATAGCAGCAACTGATTAAATAAAAGAAGAACCTGCCTACGATTGAGCAACCGAATCCTAATGCTGTGAGGTCAGATGGTTTCCATGAAGTGAAACCAGCTGATGAATCAGGCTTGCATACTGCAGCTGCAGATGCTGCACATAACACTGATTAATATTTGGCTGCACGTGCTGGGGTTTAGGTAGTGACCATTCAGATCAGAGAGGGGCCTTTTAGGTTTAAACCAGCTGGATTTAGACAATGAAACTGGCAAACCAGAGATTCGTGTGAGGCTCATTCTGCTTTCTGACTGGATAATCTTCTTAACAATTAAAGCACCAAATTACAGTTTGAACAACTTGTTATTCCAACTTAGACTAAATCAGCATTACAATTGTTGTTATCAGTAAAAGCACTATGTGATCTGAACCTATTTGACCTGTTATCTGGAAACACAATGTTTTCATATGTGTAGAATTTAAAACAAATTACATACATACATACATTACATCAGTTGATTGACAAAACAGGGGCACTTCAGGGGACAATCACATAAGAGGTGCAGCCAGGACACCTGTAGCCCCTCCCCAGATCCGCCCCTTCATATGATTCCTTTAAAAAGTCATAATGCACCAACAAAAAACTAAACAGCTACAAAGAGGGTAGTAAAATGGGGTAAAATACTAATTACAAATTTGATATTCAGTTCAATTCAAATGATCTAATGTGCGATGGTCCATGTTTGAGTAAAGAGCATATGAACAAGGTGTATGAGTATGACTACTACTACTACAGCTTGTTGTTTTTAGATTCCATAACATCAACAGGGTAAACAAAGGGAAACTGTTGATTTCCTATTATTGTATAGCCAATTCATTTAAGTAGAAAATGTGTTGAAGAGAGTGTGACGTTTAAAATGTTTCTATGAGAAGAAGAGACTGAAGGAGTGGCCTGAGCGCTCCCATTAGCTGGAGTGTGTCTGAGTGAGGATCTGTATTCTGGAGCGGCTCTGGTCATGACTGAGTGCTTTGATGAGCCAAATGGTTATAGCAGAAGACAGCCAATTTACAGCCAAGAGTGAGCTTTACGTGACCAGCCCTGTCTCCACTGCGCATCAGTCACCTGCCACTCAGCATGCTCCAACACCCGCACACTCAGGGCATTGTGGGAAAGTTCTGAAGCAACCAAATAAGGCAAGTTTAGTTTGGACAGGAAACAAGCAATGGCACTTGTCACTTCAATTATGCAACTTATTTAATCAGTTGTGTTTTATTACATTTCTGTCTATTTTTTGATCTATATTATAATGTTGTTTCCTCATCACAAACATACCTGGAGTTATATTTTTTTTCATTTACACATGTTTAACACACAAATTCTGCATCTATTCCACCTTGTGATGTCATGTTGTTATTCAGAAAGTGCTCCACTGTGTTTTTAAATTCTATACACCCTTACGAGGATCATTTCAGCCCTGGAATTGCCAGTCTCTACAGAACAAAAGGTAAAATGTAGCTGTTAACTTGAAAATTACCACTAGATGACATGACAGCTTTGGAGACAGTTTTTTGTAGACAGACAAATAATACAGGAATATAATTTTCTGTAATAACAATAATAAAGGAAGACCCTTGACAACAAGCACTGATTCAGTTCCAGTGTATCTCTGCATTTTAGCTTATATCATGCAACATTTTTGAAAGAGAACTAAGACTTATCACCCAAAATGCACTGTTTATATAAAGTTGGAGTAAACTTTAAGTCTATTCTATAAGTATAATAAATACTGACTATTTCACTATTTCATATTTACATTCATACATCACCTCAAAACTGGGACTAAACTAGAACTAAACCTGGACCAGAAATGACTAAACCAGAACTAGAGCTAGACCAAACCAAGCATACATCAGGACAGTACTACAGCACAGCACATTTAAAATATGTTATCCTAATTAATTTTTAGTGTGTGTTCATGTAAATATTGTTAGATGTTAGATGTAAGACGTTAAAGCCACAGCCTACCTCTCTCACAGGAGCGGCCTAGGTAGCCCGTCCCAGAGCAGTCGCACACGTAGCGGTTCCAGCCCTCTCTGCAGATGCCGTTGTTCTGACAGGGGTTACTCAGACACTGTTTCATGGGCTCTTTGGAGCAAGATGGTTTGACCCCTGCGGCCTTCTGTACCTCGGCCAGGCGGCGGATGTCCTTACTCTGTCCGTCGATGAACAGGTCCCTTATACAGCCCACGTAGCCGTAGTTTAGCAAAGCAGTCCACACCTCTGTAGGAAACACCAGGCCCATTTTGTTCTCAGGCAGCCCGCCCAAGTACAGGTTATCATCCAAGTCCAGAATCTCACTCTCCCCAGGGGCAGTGTAGGCTGTCCGCAGTGTGTTGATGGAGATCGTACCTGCACAAAAAAACAAAACAAAAAGAATAATTATTGCACTTTTCATGATTTAAATATTATGGTTTTTAAACAACCAATGACACAAACTAATTCTTATATGTTTACTTGATTGGATGGAATGTAAATAGGAAAAGCAATCTAACGCTCCCAACTGATTTTAGCCAGACATAGGTAGGCCATTAATACAGAAGTGGTAGTGTAATAGTACTTCTTTAATCCTTCCAGACCTGAAGGAAATTTTAGTAAATTTGTCCTTGCCTGGATTTTATTTAATTTTTATTTTGCTACTAAAACTCCCCCTTTTACCCCGTAATGAAGTGCTATACATCTTTTTTTCAATTTTTTTCAATGTTATTTCACAATCTCCATGCTGTAATTGTGTCATATGACTGTAATAAAAGACATAGGACCAGAAATACAAATGAAAGAAGAAAAATAAAATAAAATTCACACTCTTTCATACAAAACACATAGCAAACATGTATAAACAACTTTTTGGACATAAAAAAAATTGTAATTTAGGGCCTTAGCTACTAAAGTGCAAAATATCATGTCTGTAAGTAAGCTAAAAATATCCTTATTGCCTCAAAAAAAACAAAAAAACAAACAAACAAAGTGTAATGGCCCCAGTCATGGAAATAGTTCCTGTCAGGTCTAGGGCACAGAGAGCCACATCACTTCCTGCCTTTCTATAGTGGATATTACATTTGGATTTGTACATTTTGAGTGACACAAACCTTTCAAATAAAAATAGCAAGGGATGCAATTACACAGACTAAGATGCGTAATTTGTCATTTATTTGAGGAATAACTGCACTTAGAGCGGCTTTTTCAATTGTTATGAACATAACCATTTTGACTCACTACACTCTTCGGCAAAGTTTGGGGTCAGAATGGAAGGAGCGCATGTGTTTGATGCAAAACAAAGTTCCACTTGGACACTTGTTTTCCCTACGTCATCACATATTGTGTGATAATATGATAATGCTGGAAATATGCTAGGAAAGCCACTTTTCTCAGCTTTTCAAGGAGAAAAAGTAAGTTTCTATCTTTTATGGTTGGAAAGTTATGCACAGTTACATAAGACATATTCCCAGGTATTGTATACGATACCGTCGGTCTGGAAGGGTTAATTGGTTTGATGGAAGCACTCAGCACATGTTGTGTTGGAGTGTAAAGCAGAGTTATCCAAATCCCTACTTAAATATATATATATATATATATATATATATATATATATATATATATATATATATATATATATATATATATATATATATATATATATATATATATATATATATATATATATAAAGTTATTCTAGTAGTTACACTGGTAATTAGCATCTAGTTATTGTAGTAGCAATAGTATTTGTACTGGTAGCACAGTAGCATCAATGTTTTTTACAATACTGAACAATTCACTTTAGCAGGTCAACTTTATTTTGCTTTCAGGGCATTTACTTGATTGAAGATTTAGATTTCATAATTTGTCTAAGAACATGAATGAGCATTGACCTTTAACCTCCAGGAAACCCTCTTTATCAGGATGAAACGCCTCAAACTAGAGCTGAGCTGCACCATTACACCACTGCTGATGAAGAAATTAGCCTTATTAGCATTATCTGTGTGGACAGGGGCAGGCTTTTCTTACTTTCCAATGACTGATGACTGTTGATAAGACACATTAATCACAGCACAGCCACTCTATTAGGAGCCTACTCTGGGATCCCTAAGAGTGCCCTCTCCATTCGCCACCTATTCCCATAATAAATCTCCTTTATCTGTAAGGCAGTGCTCATAAAAGAGGAAAGAGGAGGAAAAGAAAAATCAGTACTCCTCCATCACCATCATTTCAGCCCACGGACCAACACGAGAAATTGTAGCCATCTTTCTGAACTTGATTAACGGACTGCGGCCTTCTGTTTTTCCTCTCCGACACATAAACCCGCGATGAAAGTTGGTGTGTAGTGCTGCCATGATTTATCACCCTCATTCAGGTTTAATTCTCGATCTGGAGCGCGGTAAACAACAGTGGACATGACCGGACTGTAAAGCAGGCAGTGAGAAGGCCATACTGTGAGCAGGGAGCAGGTGATTCATTTGTATATGGATCTGTTACTGTGTCTGTGCTGTGGCGACCATTGTGGCTCTTTAATTAATGGTTGCTGTGTCCTCATTCAGTAATCCATTTTATTCTGGTGGGGAAGATACACGCCGAGAGTGACATAGAAGGGCAAACGAGGGCCCAAAATGAAATTGCCATAAATACTAGTGCTATGGTGATTTGCATTTTGAGTGGCAGGTCCATGCTGTGGCTGATATGGAGAAGCTATTAGCACACTGCCCGGGCTAAAGATGAGGAAACCTGGCTGTTTGTGAGTACAGTGGAAGAGCTTTGAACGCACTTACAAATTCAAAGACTATCAATGAAATTTCATATAATGTGGAGACAATAATTATGTGTACAATACATAGGGTGGCAGATATGAGGTCAGCTATATCAGTGATTTGTTTCACTGTTTGACGATATATCTACTACTAACTACTACTATCTGTTTGATCAAATAAAAATAAAATTGCTTTTGAGGCAACTACTGTGGGACTACACAAGATAATTCAATAGAAAGGCTCACTTTGGCAATAAGGGTTGGTGATTTAATTGCAGCTCTGATTCTGAGGATACTGTCATTTGGCAAAACATGCAAAAGTGCAGAGTACATGGTTGACCGTGACAGAAAGAACTTGCAATTGATTTTCTGGACTACTCAATCTGAGCATGGAAATCATTGCTCTCTGTGAATTTGGATATTTGCTGTGGCTACTCCATAGGGGGAAAAAGACATGAATGAAACTAAAACAATAAACCTTTCTATGTAATCTTTACTGTGTGACTGTTGGAAGTAAACCCAACAAACCATAAGCCCATTTCATCACCCCTAGAGGTGAGTTAGGGTTAAGAGATCTGTGGACAATGATTAACAGGACCAACTCACATGTTGGAGCTCTTTTCTGTGGGTCCTGCCCTCGGGCATCTGTTCCAGCGCTTTCCTTCGGCCACCCACTGCCCCCTCCTTCCCCATTTCTACCCCACTCCCTCTCTTTCACCCCTCTTCTCTTCTCTCCTCCTCTCCTCCTCCTAAGGCTGCAGCTGCTGTGACTTCCACCGCTCTGCACTCTTGGCAGGGCCCACCCGTCACGCGGCCAGAACAGCTCCCTTCAGGTTAGGGCTAACGAGCGCACTACATCAAACTCATTAGCAGCCAAAGTTTTGTGGGAGCGGAGCAGGTGCCCGGATCAGGTGCCCGGATCAGGCATCAACGCGGTCAGCAAGATTTGTGGACACTTAATGTACTGACAAATGTACTAGGTTTACAGCTTATTCAAAAATCAACCGCACACATTTCCAGGCATGGGCTCCTGGGTTCCCCCTATTGCTCACATGAGGCATTACCACAAAAGCACCCATTTCATTACACTGAGAGATGTATTTAATGAATACAATAAACACAAATATATTTTTGCTGCTAACATAATATGTGTTACTAGCTATATTAATATGTTTTAATCGGTCAGAAGGAGTGGTCAGTCATTGTCCCAAGCTATTGAATAAATTGAGCTGTCCACTGTGACTCATAAGATGCAAACCCAAAATCTAAGTGTATTACAATTTTGAATACCACAATATACGATGTAAGTATGTGATTTGATGTACACAAAAGAGGTTTGCTATGAATAAACCTGTAGTGCCTGTAGAGCAGTTGGTGGCAAACAGCAGAAGTGTGTCACAGTGGCTGTTTAGGGTCTGTTCACTTGTCACAGTGCAGTAAGCAGCTGTACAAACAAAGTCAGACTATGTTACATCAGGAGCACTGTATGCTCCTATGGGACATGTGCCATCAACAACATGGAAGAAGAATATTGATACTTTGCAGTAGCATCACGCTCTAAATGCATCTTTATTGGTGGGATGTTCAACAGTAACCAGAGAGAGCTAATATAATCTGAAAATTCAAGAAAAAATCCTAAATGAATTTAAATAGCACAATACAAGCACTGTTTAGGAATTTGATTTTCAATAAAAAAGGTGAGAGTGACTAACTGAAAAACTGTTAGCAAGCTTGTGACTGTAATTTTATGTGTGAGACACTTGCTTAAGCGCACAAATCAGCTCACCTGTCCCAACCAAATCAGTTCTTTCTGGTCAGACTCTGTTAAAATAAAGCTTACATTAAAGTCTTGCTTGAGTAACAGAGCTTCTTACAGAGTAGTGCTTTCAGTTACGTTCACACTCCCATGTTGATTACATCAGCTGCAAAGTATCAATACTTTAAATATTGTATGGCCATAATTCATATGGTATATAGGGCATTAAAGATGCACGGTGTAAGCATTTCGGATGAAGGGTATACCACCTGCTTCTCTCTTTGGAGATGTTAATGCTTCACCTGGAATGTTCCACAGTATGACATGAAACTTAGTCACATCCAGCAATTATTCAATTACATTTTCTTATTGCACAAAAAAGTGTTTCTTACTGTGGAGATAGATTGGTTGAATATTATACCATAAAGTGAAATATTCCAGACAAAACAGGTAGCAGACCCCATGAGAAAATGTATACGGTATATTTTTTGTTTAGTTTTATTTAGTTTTTTTCAGGAGTTAACAACATAATGCAGCTAATAATGTTTTCCTTAATTTGATTTTGATTATAATTATTTATGATATAGATATATGAGATAATTCTCCCTAACAAAAAACAAAGGAGTCTCCACCTCTGATATATCAATGTGAAATGAACCAGTCCAAATGTGAAGTAAAACACCACACATTAAGCAACAATATAAAAGTGGGTGTCTAACTAGTCTGCACTCTCCATGTCTGACTTTATCCACAGTGGAGCTGCAGGTGGGGGCTCTGTGACAGCTCAGATCTTTGCACACCTCCATCAGCAGACGCAGCAAGATGTCCCCTAACCCTCCCTCACTCTCCCCTACATGTTAGACAGCGGATTACCACAATCCAGTTACAACGATACGGCCAAATCTCAGCGTGATTGGATTCTCCGTAGACCAGGGGAGCTAGGGACTATGTGTGTGTATGTGTGTGTATGCGTGTGTTTGTGCGTGTTTGTGTGTGTTTGTGTACACTAAACTTGAGTGGTGGTATGGGTGAGCTGGCAGGAAGTATAACCACAACTGAGCAGTGAGTGACCCCAGGCGTATTCAGTGAGGGTCCTCACTTAAAAGCAGAGTGTCTCTAATGCATCGGGGTGAAGAGATGAGGAGATGGTTGGTCTGAAATGGTCCATTTATACTCAGGCTCCTATGCAGCACAACTAAGTAAACTAAAAAACTTTTTAGTTTAGTTTATTTTTTTTAAAAAAGCTGATCACTTTACATCTGTTGTCATAGTTGCAGTTAAGATAGTGATTTAAATTTAGAATATAACTATGTTTTGTTTTTCATGAGCCATTCTTTATGACAAAATATAGGGCGATAAAATTTCATAAAAATATAGTATATGTTTGCTACAACATGGTTATTCACAGTATTGACTCAGCAGTTGAACCCACAATTTATTTTCATATGTCCCAGCCACTACACAATATGTAACACGGAAACTCAATTTAAAGGTACACTTTGTAACTTTTCTCAGTGTGGGGGCCTACCACCTGCTTGTCTCCATTTTATTACTTTGGAATGTTCCATAGCGTTGCATCAAAGTTGCTGATAATCCTGCATTAATTCCATGCATTAATACCTTAAGAACATTTATTCTTGCTGTAAATTCAGTCAGCCAGTCTCCACAGATCTGACCCATAACTTGGCTGGCACACCCTGCTTGTCTACATGGAGATATACAAGTTTGCATAATGCCATGCTATGGAACATTCCAGCCAGAAGCAAAATCCATGAAAACAAACACCTGGCACACCGACCTGAAAAATTACATAGCAGACCTTTAAAGCTGTTGAATATGACTATGACTATAATATGAGATCATATAAAAAGCGCCTCATTTGAGTTCCATGAGCAAAACAAACTCTATATATAATTTGACCTTTATTATCTTGTTCACAAATAGCTGGTAAAAAGCAGGACACTATATGATTAAACTATACTTTTCCTGTTCCTAGTCTCCAGTGGGCAGCCATGACTTCACCAGTGTGTGTGATATGAGTAATATCATCATGTCTCGACTTGAGAAAAGGAAAAAGTTCTCCTGAAATGTCATTAGTGCAGAGCTCAGCAGCACTGTCTCAGCCCGGGCCGAGACCACCTCCTGTTTCCATGGTAACGCAGACAGTGGGAACAACTGAAGACTGTGTGTGTGTGTGTGTGTGTGCGCGCGTGCGTGTGTGTGCATGTGTTTCTGTGTGTCTGCGCATGTGTGCGTGTGTGTATGAGTGTGTGGGTGCGAGCATGTGTGTGTATGTACATGTGTGTGTGTGTGTGTGTGTGTGTGTGTGTGTGTGTGTGTGGGTGAGAGAGAGGGGGCGGACCGCTGATAATCAACATGATTTAATTGAGCAAGACAATGTTTCTTACAGTTTGGGAGGGACATGTCTGAACTGCGGAGATTAGTGTTCACATTTGATAAAACATTTCAAACATTTACTCTGTGGATTCTTGTATAGTCAGTTTATAACTGCAAAATGTTTATAATGCAAATAAGATGTGTAAGGCTTAATAAAAAAAATAAAAAATAAAAATAAAAAACTGAAAAGAACTCCATAAAGTCATTGTCCTCAATATGACAAATATAAACATACATCAAATGATTCAAAGATTCAATAAAGTAAGACTAGGAAAGTGCTCAAATCAGACAAAATGAGGGTGCTGCCATGTTGGATTTTCAAATTCTGACTCTGAAATGCTGTTTGAGTTTTCCAGTACAAATTCAGAGATCACACCATAAATTAACAAATGCTCTTTCTGATAGACCTACTTAAGTCTTTTGACAAACCTGTTGCATTAATATTTAATATGAACAGTCCATTTACGGTGATCAAATTATTAATTTGCTGCCACAAATATAAATGTTAATTGTGTATCACTCAGTGTGAAAGGGTATTCCCATAATGCTTTGGGGGTAATGAAACAGTTAATCTAATTTCCACCTCCTGAGATGGAGTGGAGAAATTGGTCAGGGGTATATCTAATTTGCAGCATGACATTGCGAGGCCTTGGCTACAAGCATACACTAACAAATGACTGCTTAGATAAGCAAATCAACTGGGACCAAAGCAATAAAACCTGAGGCTTAGAGGACGTGTGGGAGAGGACAAAGTTACACCCCATCAGAACTCACTCAGGGACCTCTGACATATGAGGCCAGTGCGCTTCAGACATAACTGACGTAACATGCATTTGTGTGTTTATACAAAGGACAGCAGTAAGTTTAGGCTGTGGAGGATATACTGTGTTTCCGCTTCTTGAAAATTATCTTCGGAGTGAATTTATTATCTAATATGAATGTGGTGTGTAACTAACTGCTCCCTCACCTGATCTGCCGTCTCGCTGGAAGTCCACATGGTACCACTCTCCGTCGTTGACCTTCTTGTTGACCGCTCTAGTCTTGGTAGTTCCTGAGCCCATGTCCAGCAAAAGATACAAGTGTCCATCCAACATCTCAATGGCAAAGAAGTCCACTTTGAGAGACTGGGGGTTGACTGGTGTGGAGTCCTTTGGGGGCTGTTTGGGTTTTCCATGGCTGAAGAGGAGCAGTCCGTTGGGCTCGGTGGTCCTGAAGTCAAAGGAGATGGAGCCGGTCTTCTTGGCGTTCCACTTGTTGAGGATGACGTAAGACTCGGGGGTCTCAAAGGTGATGGGGTCCAGGGTGGCCACGTTCTCACATTTAAAAGCGACAGTGCCATGGATTTTCATTTTAGGATCACCCTGTTTGGCCAGTCGGGACAGCTCCAGCCTCACGTCGTTGTTTTTGTACACAACCTTTGAAAAAAACAAAAGATAAGTTAATATACTGATTTAAATTGTTAAATTCTATGACAATGGTTCTAATTTCTCTTCATTCGACACCCATGGACTCTTCTGAAATGAAATATCGGTTTATTGGTTTAGCTAAATCATCCCTTAGTTTTAGATTTTGATTTGAAAACTGTGGTTTCAAATAAATATAGCCCAAGGAAGCACATATTCATAATTATTAGTGCCAATTTTGAATAGTTCCTGGTTTGAATTTTTTTAGTTTCAGATGTTTTTTCCCCCAAGACAAAAACAAAATTAACAAGCTAATTAATTAAATCCAGTCACAAGGAGACAGTTAATGAAATATTCCACTGTATTTTTGGAAATAATTGGATGAAAATTTCAGACAATCCGATCAAATGTATTGTTTTAATGGCTATTTTTTTTTTGTTTTCTAATTTTATTTATATATTAAAAAAAAATGAATGACACACATTTTTTAAAAACCTCTTGAGATTAAAAAGACACTTTATTTAGAACAAATCAGTGAGAATCAGTGGCAAAGACTGGGAGAAAACTAGATCAGACTTTAGGACTGACGACGGGACTTACTGACTTGAGACGGACAAAGGACTACTTTACTCACACTGGTTTGGAATATTTCAACAAACAACATGACATCATGGTTTATGTTTGGGATATCTTATTGTATGTCAAACATAGACTAGTTTTCCTCTGTGACTCACACAAATTTGATTGTGACTGTTCCATACAGTAACTAGTTGTATTTGTATTTGTTGTTTTGAATTTAAAAAAAAAAAAAAATGTAAAAAATCTTAAAGTAGACATGTGAGAGGCAAAAATTAGAATGCACAGATAACTGGCCGCTGTCTGAATGTTGGCGTTTGATTCTGTCCTCAAAAGCAGACATGGCTTTATTTAAGACTTCAATCAGTTTGCATGTCTCTGTGTGTTTGCAACAACTGCTGGGAGAAAATAATCCTTTCCGTAGGCCAGGGTTTTAGCACAGGAGGAACTATTTATCACAGTTAGGGAGATTTCACTTCATGTTTTGTTGGGATTGTGATGACAGATGACAGCCTTTTTTACTTTTTGTCAAAATATGTGTATGTATATAATAAAGTCATAATGAATAGTATCAATATTTTGGTACATTTCATTAAACAGCATAATTTAGCTGCTTCTGAGAGACAGTAATGCAGTCTGGAAATTCAATGTTTTGATTAAAAGGAAAAAAAAAAAAAAAAAGACCAAAGAAAAAGATCATACAGAAATGTGCATGCAGTGCTTTAACAAAAATGTTGTAAATAAGTATGCCTTCCTTGTAAAACAGTGAACTATATTGAAGAATATCATGTGCTATTTGAAAAAAAAAAAAAAAAAAAAAAAGATACTAAAACTAATATCAAAACTAGATCTGAACATGTTTCGATACTGCAAAAAATCACATTAACAGGACAAAATTGTTTATCAGAACTAGTATAAATGTAAGTAATAGAAGTACTACTATTTTGTATATGAAATTTATATATAATGGTAATATAAATGCTTTTTTTCATAATAATAATAATGCTTTATCATAATCTGTATCACGTATTGACTGAATTTTTGGACAGAAATCAAGAAGAACAATGACATTTTGTGGCAACTAACAACACTGTGGAATATATAGATTTTTGCTTGTATATTGTTATATTGTTGTTTTGCAAGCCATGTCGCATATTTATTGTGAGGGACCTGTAATTCCCAGCCCTATTGTATAGATACATACAAACTGGAGTACCTCTAATGTTGGAGGAATACATTGTGGTATTTGATCACACAATTTAGGCTCCAAACTACATAAAATTTGTGAGAAAAACAGACAGCTCTGCTCTTGTGTTTATGTGGTTTTTCCCATTTCCAATTAGTGATCGGAAATGCATAGCAGCGAAACACATAGAAAGCTTCTGTTTGTAATCATATGTTGAGTTTTTATACTGTAATTTACCTGCAACTTGATGTAAAAGTATTTGGAATACAGTACTCTGATTGGATCATGTATCAGAACACATTACAAAATACATTTTAATTTAGGTATTCAGTATTTTGCAACTAAATCAATTTTCTTCCCATCACTGACTATACTTATTCCCTTAGCGTGACATGTTGCCAGATAAATCGATCCAGTGTATACATATTTGACAAAGGTTTCACAAAAGCAAGGTCTGGGTGCCAACTCATGTGATCGAAATGAGCCCTGGACAGAATCAATTGTTTCTAGTGGAGACAGAGGGCACCTTTCACAGTCCGGGCTGGAGCTATGACAACTCCTGCTACTGCTATACTGCTGTTACTGCTGCTGCTGGTGGTGGTGCACTCATTTGTCACCACTTTGACAACTGAGCTATGGCTGCAGCGCGTTTGTTTTGCCATCACAGCTAACAGGCAGGCGTGGTAGCCCTAGCGCTCTTCGTGCACAAGGCACAAGAGCAGGGCATCAATCACGGACAAAGGCATATGATGTAAAACCACTATTGTATGTTATAGGAGTACAAGCAGAGGCTGACCCTGCACTTGGCTGCTGGCGAATGTAAAAGGTAAAGGGAGTCACGGATAATAATAACACTACAATATATAAGTTATGCTCTCTAAATCAATCAGTAATGGACCAAAAATACTGCTTTTGGATCTAGGGGATTGTGTAAAAGAAAGACAGTGAATGAAATAATTTTGCACCATTTTGTGAGGGCATTGATAGCAACTAAACAAAAAGGGGACAGAAAAATACTGTCAGTGTTTATATTAAGCATTGAGAGGTTTTGAGCCAACTGAATATAAAATGTAACAAGTTTGTCTTTGGTTTTATTAATACATGGTGGAGAGAACTGTGCTATTTTGAGGGAATTGTGAGACAGGGTCAAGGATAACTTCATTCACAAGAGGTCAGGGACAAATAAATGACTAAAAGGCTACAAGTTGTGAGATACACTTGACTTGAATGATTCTCTGCTGTACCTGACCAGATTTGTACCTTAACCCGTGTTTGAAAGTAACTATTCAAATCCATTTCTGAACAGTGTTGAAGGAATGTTACGCTATTTTCTGATCTGTTAAAATTTTGTTTCATCACAAGCATACCTGGAGTTGTGTTTTGTTTTCACTCATGTTTAACACACAAAACCTGCATATTTAGGTTCGGTTCTTCTCGCAACGAGCAAACACTCTGTTCCACCTGATGATGTCATGTGGTAATACAGGAAGTGCTTCACTGTGTTTTTAAACTCTATACACCTTTACTGGAATTTCAGCTCTGGAACTGCCTTCTACTAAAAAGGTACCATACTTTTTTTACTATAAGTTGCACTTTTTTTCATGGTTTGGCTGGTCCTGCGACTTATACTCCGGTGTGACTTATATATTAAAATTTTCACATTGACAGCAGCGAGGGGGCGCTCTCAGCTTGTGTGTCTGTATCTGCTACTCCTATTACTCCTAGACCACTGTCATTTGGCACTCTACTGCACATGTCTCCTGCAGAAAGAGTTGACGTCCTGCTCCAAGCAATGAAATATGCAGCCGAAAGGTTAATTGAGCAGCAGAAAGAAAGTTTGGAGTGAGTAAGAAACTTGTGAGAAACTGGTGGAAAGTGGGGATAGAGAACACAGCTTCACAGTAACCGGGAGGATGTGCCCTCCTATGACTTTCCTGGAAGTCACTGGATGGATAGACAAAGCCTGTACTTCAGTGACAACTGAAACCATCCTGTTGGGATTCAGAAAGGCCGGAATAATTCTAACTGGAACTAATGCTGAATCTGACAACAGCTATGCAGAAGAGGTTGGTTTGCCTCCGGAGGTCGTGGAGTTGCTCAGAAGTGACACCAAGGATGAAGAATTCACTGGATTTAGTGATTTGGAGTGAGATGAAGAGTTTGTTAAACTTGTTCTGTTGTTTATGCTATAGTTATCTGAAGAACTGTTCATATGTGATGTTAACACTCTGTTGTTCTCTGTTCTATCGTTATTACTCTAACTTGCCTTTCAAGATGAAATGTTGGTTCCTGGTTTTTGATTTTATAAAATAAATTTCCCCAAAAAGTGTGACTTATAGTCCAATGCAATTTATATGTTTTTTTTTTTTTTCTTCATTATGCATTTTTTGGCTGGTGCGACTTATAGTCCGAAAAATACGGTAAATGATAGCTTCATGTCATCATAAGTTAGAACAGAGCAATTTGAGCTTTTAGGATGTAGGCTAATAATGAAGGGTGTGTGAATGACACACAACACAATTCCAGGTCTGGTTTTGATGAGGTAACAGCATTATAACATAGCTTAAACCTCCTTTAAATCCTTTATCCTACTCTATTTAGTATTTTATTTTTTGTGCAACATTGTGCACCTTGAGTCATGATAACATGATAATAATTATTGCATTCCATCAACTTCCTTGCTCCAACAAAACAAATTAAAACAGTACTATGTATGAAAGTGAATAGAACAGGAGATATAATATTCATATAGCTTACTTAAATTGAACCATTGTGTTTGGGTCTCATAACACAGGTACTTGTCCTGAGGGGTCTGTAATCATAGATAGAAGACCTCTTAAATTGTGCTGTAGCTTAAAGTCGTGTTGGACTGTAGTTAAGCAAGTTGGTTTCCTTAACAACTGTGCCTGTAATGAGCTGTACGTGACACGCAGACACATGGGCCACACTCTGCACTGCCTCATTAAAACCAGATGCTGCACCACTATCTCACTTTTACCCACGATGCTGAATCTGTGCAAGGTGAGACAAAATGGAAGAGTGACTAAACAAGAGAAGGGTAAAATAAGAACAGCTTTTCATTAACAAATCAAAAGATAACAGAAATAGTCCATTTGGAGAGCTTTGGGAAACTGCCTTTGGGTCACTGAGGTAAAATGGCCTGGGTCAGAATCCCTATTAAGAAGAAAATAGTGCTGAGCTGAAAAGTGGAAGTTAGGGGTGAAGGATTTGAACTTTCTGTGGAAGGAATTGAATGCCTTTTTATGTGTTACATATATGCTGTATTAATATTGTTTATTTCACACCAGTTTAGCCTCATTTATTTTTCTATTTTGCCAAAAACCTTGAAGAATTACTCAAAGGTTTACACTATTTTTTACTGCCATTCATATTACATGGATTTTGTGCAAACTGTGCTCTTACATATACTGCAACTGCAAGAACAACTACTGCAAATACTACAGCTATTCTATCAAACTATTGGTCCTTCTGACTATCACTCACACACCACTTCATTCTTGGCCAGGTGGGTGAAGTGTCTTGCTTAAAGACACAACAGTATGCACTAGATCCACTGCTGCCTCACTGTGACATCTGGTACTCCCATCCAAGTATTAACCAAGCCCAACCCTGCTTAGCTAGAGATTTTCTTTCTTTCTCCTCTTGCACAGCTAAAAGATATACTTGCATTACTATATTTGAATATTTTATTTATTTTACTTGTACATATATATTATATAATTATGCCTAAAAGATTTGTTGATCTCACCGGTCTCTTCTTATTTTTTTATTGTATTTATTATTACCAGTTATATCTTTGCTCTTATATTATATATATATATATATCTATTGATGTGTGAGCTACTATGTCCAGATAATTTCCCTTGTGGATCAATGAAGTTTGTCCATGTCTATCTATGTCTACATCAGACAAACGTGTGCATTCTCAAGGAATGGCGTATTACTACATCAACAGTGCATTTGCCTCTGTATTTCCCTTTGTATTTTTGAGTTTGTGCATAAATTGAACACTTCCATCGACCATTTCCATTTTGCTTAGACATCAGCAGCAGAAATATGGACTATATACTACATAAATACACTGCATACTTCCATAGCAATAAAGCCCCATATAAGAGACAAATGACTGATGCCGTAAGCTTGACTGGAATGGCCCATTACACAGAGAAGCCTCCCTTATAAAGACTGACTCTGCTCAATACATCAGCAGACAGGGCAACCACGTCTGTGTCAGGTGTAATGCGCAGGCTAAGAGCAGATCATCTCAGCCACAAGTGACGGGCTATGTAGATTCTAGCTCCTATAGATAGTGATGGAGGAACAACATGAGAGGGGAGTGGGGGGGTGGGGGTGTTGGAAACAGTCCCCGGCCCCCAGAGAAGCACTGAGGCATGAGGAGCCGCTGTTCTCCTCATGAAAATTCAGTTTCTTGATCTCTCCAATCGCCGTGTGTCTTTGAAGTGTACCTTACAGAGGGCTACAAAGGCGATGGTGAGATCCTGTGATGTAGAGATTCCAGCGCATGCATTGTTAGAACGATATTGGCAGACAGTATAGGTTTTGTAAGACACAAAATGTAGTGTTGTAATGTGAATGTTATACCAGACTTGTTATGGGGTGACAAAATATATTGAGTACTGTATTCACTATTATCAGTAAATGTGTAAATTTCTCTTTTTCAACAATTTATATTGTAAAGCTATAAAATTTGACATTTGATTGCTGTCTTCTAAGTTGTAAACAATTTTATGAAACCCAAACCTGAAGAACTGTTGCATCAGTATATTACACATGGGGATGAGAGCATGTTGAGAGCAGTTCACTGAATGAAAGATCATGAAACTGTCCACAGACCTGGAAATATTCTGATGGGCCAAAGGGCTTATGAGAGCTAGGTGCAAGTTTATTATAAGACACCATAAATTCTGGCGAAAATGTAAAAAAGTAAATGTGTTCGATACAGTGCAGAGAGGAAACTCGAAGGTTTGAAATGTTGCCCTGTATCAAACTTTTTTGTAAGGATGGACAATGTGTGGGTTGTTCTCTCTCATCCTACACAACCATCTTAAGATTTGTGTGCAAAGTCTCCTGTTCTTTTTCTATCAAAAAATTAAACATTTTGCTCAAGTTTATTTACTATTTACTGCAACTATATCTACCATTTTACAGAGTTCCCACTCTTTTTCACTCACAAAATTGCTGAACTTTTCCATGACTTTTTCATGACCTAAAGTGAATTTTCCATGACTTTATGGCACCCTACATCTGTATAATTGATCATACTCACCTTATGGTTTGGTATTACAGATTTTTAACATTCAAAATACTGTGCATTTATTGTCATCTCTTTTCAACAAAAGGCACATACGTTTGGAAATAATCATAATAGCCTAATGATAACTTAGCTGTTGTGTGAAAGAGATACTAAAATTACATGCCTTTTCTAAAACTTTTCCAAACCTGGAAAATGACAGTTTCAATTTCCATTACTTTTCCAGGATTTCCATGACTGTGGGAACCCTGGTTTTATGAAATATATAATAATGCATCACTATTGTGAATATATCCTTCATTTTACTTGTCTTGCTTCCTGCTTTCTAATAGACACTGCTTTGTTCTGATTCCTATTTTAGAATGTTAAAAATCTTAAAGGTGCAATGTGTAACTTTTCTGATGAAGGGTCCACCATCCGCTTGTCTCCATGGAGACGTTGTTGCTTTGACTGTCCCGAAATGACAAAAAGCATATGCCTTTACATTTACTCAATAACATGAGTTTTTATAGACTTAAAAACTTGCATTCTTACTGTGAGTGGGCTCACCTTTCCACAGATCTGACATGTAACTTGGCCCTATGGCATCAGCTGCAGTCTTCATAGAGATAAATACGTGTAATGCCATAATGTGAATAACTTCAGGCAACATTTCCATGGAGAGAAGGTGGTAACAGACCCTCAACCAGAAAAGTTACACAGAAGTTAAGGATCAAATATGATCAGTTACAGTTACAGTTATTTTTTTGTAATAAATCCTTTTGGTGCATTTTTATGACGTGTATTTGCAGAGTGGGCGGAAAAGCAAAATAAAGTTTATATGAGATAATCAGGAAACTCAAGAATATACAAGACACGATCAGTGCGTGGGAGTGAGCCGGGTCTGTTTTGAGTCCTAAGGTGCGTCCAGTCATATCCTGAACACCCACGGTCTAAGTTAAGGCAGAGAGAAGAGAGATAGAAAGAGAGAAAGATAGATGGAGAAAGAGAGATAGACTGATAACTCTTTACCTCCTTAAGGCAGCCCATGAAGTTATTGCTGACCGGAGATCCAGGCAGGTCAGCGGTACTTGGGCTGCCTCCAACGTAGAAGAAGTCATCGGAGCCTAACATGGTGTAGTCTTCCTGAGTGTATCCGGTGGTGGTCAGAATCCCATCCACGGATATCGTTACCTAGACAACAAAGCACAGGAAGAGGACACGCTATACTCAACCCAACCCAATGCGTATGGCTAATCAAACTGCCTTTTTCTTCTTGTGGTCTTTCAATCGGCCCTATTTTCTAATTTCTGAAACCCATTTTTATGTCTTTTTTCTTGTTTTTCTGTATTATTTTGTCCACTTTTAGATTAGTTGTTAATCTGCAGACCCCAAAGAAATGCTAGTTAGTGTTTGAGTTAGTACCCATAGAACAGTGTTAGTATTGCCCCAAGAGCAACAGAAAATAGTTTAGCAGACACAAAAATGGTGTTAGTAAAATGTTTGTCGGTTAGTTTTTCCATTATATTAGTATATTCATTGTTGTTATTTTAGAAAAGAAAGTAAATCAGATCGTGCTACTAGGTTAGAAATAGCACATGCTATGAATACAGATAATTAGATACTGTTTAAGCTACTATTTAAAATAAATATGCATGCATTTAGGTTTGCTTTTTGCCTATTTGCAAAAAGAAACACCTTTTTTCATTTAGTTAGAAATAGGGAATAAGTTTGGCACTACATCATTAGCATGCATTAACTAATGGATACCACAAAAAGAATACAGGAAGTGAAAGACACAATCACACACATGTTGACGAACGAATGAGCAGTGGAGAAGCTAACAACACAAAGGTCAAAGTTCATGCCATGCAAAGTGAATGGGGAAGATACAACTGGCTGAGCCCAAGAGCATCAGGCCAGCCAGACAGAAGAGAAGTCCTCAATATTAGCCACGGCTTGATGCAAAAGGCTCGCAATGATGCTCCTAGGTGGATGAAACAGAATAGGACAGGAAACAGGTGAAATAAAGTGGGCAAAACCAAATGAGTGACTCAAGAAATCCAAAAATAAAATTAATTCAAAAAGTAAGCTGAAGAGTACCAACCGCAATTTCCCTTTTTTGTAAATGACGTCTACGGTATAAAAAAAGAAACAAAAGGAAACACACGGCAAACCCAAACTAAGAAACAATTAGAATGATATCTACCGAACAATGTAGTTTGTTTACCATAGCGTGTCCAATGCCTGAGTGCTTTGTGGAAAAGGGGGAGAAAGGAAATTAAAAACTGTGAACAGAATAACGACTGTTACTCAAATAATATATGATGGTCAATACTGGTTAGTACATAGTTAAAATCAGACTGGTTAGTAGTATGGCACATTCCATGAGTGATGTTAGGTTAGTTTCCCAAAGCATGTTAGTAACACAGAGTTAAAAGGGCAAAATAAGTTTAACAAGAAAAAAGCAGGTTAGATATGCTCCACTAGAGGTGCTATAGAGCTCAGGACTCCCTAAAATACCACGCTACCAACACACCTACATTTTAAGCATTTTTACCCCCTGGTCTTTACCAAATCCTTACACAGTTATGGAGACACACGTCAAATACAGAAAGCGCATAATTTGACCCAGTTAACCTAAAACTTTTTAAAGCAACACAATGTAACTTTTGCTCCCTCTTTCCAAATCATAATTTATGTATATACAGTAAAAGGTAATTAAGTGTATAGCACAATTTGAGTTTTTAGAGTCATAATCAGGTTTATGTTAACATCAACATTTTCTCTTACATGTTTTTATGCTATTTGTAGACATTATCTGCACTATACATTCTTCTAAACAATGCTAAGAGCTCAATTGTAAGGTATATAAATCTACTTTTTTTCCCTTACTTACCTTATATCTGAACACCTATCAACTCCCCTGCCTCTAAAGTACACAGTGTTGCTTTAAGTACATTTCTCTCTAACTTTTAAGCCCAATGCGCTGTTCATGACATACCCAACGCTCATTCAACACTGTACCTCCTTCTTTTGGTGTTTTTGATGAACTTTAGGACCACTTTACTGCAATGAGACAAAGCAAAAAGACCCTGACACAGAATGAGCGGGATGGTCGTTTCCGATGCCCCACAGAGCATGCACTCTTATGCTTGAGTTTCCTTGCTCTCTCCAATGTGGTGAATGTTCCAGATGGCTACGTCCTGAGGCAGCACCATAATACAAGTGCTAATTATGCAAAAGCAGGTTTAGTAGACAGGTGAAGATAAACAGAAGCAAGCAATTGAGCAGGGACTTGAGAGGTTAGCTGTTTAAATGTTAGGACCTCATTGCTGTGATCAGAATAAATCTAGTCTACAATCTGTCAGAGTTGAACCGGAACTGGACAAGGCTAAACCAGGACTCAGTGTTAGTGTAGGAGAAGCAGAAAAGCAGATGGCAAACACAGCAACAGTAGAGATTTTAGAGTCAGATAGATTGGTTTAGGTTTAAAAGGTTAAACAGCGTTACAATCACAACATTTCTCCCAGACATTTCTAGGTCATGTGTAAATCTGTATCAAAATAATATTGAGTGCTGTTATTCTTTGGTTAAAAGAGCACAAAAGGAATGCAATAATAATAATAATAATAATATAATAATAATAATAATAATAATAATAAATACAAATAAATAAAATAAAATCTGATTAAATTAATTAATGAATAAATAAATGCACAACACTTTCAGTAAAAAATAAATAAGTTGACCAGTACTAGCCAAATGTTTTAATTCAAACCAATATACCAATACTAAATAATAAATAAATAAATACAAATAAAATAAGAATCTTTTCTAAGGTTTTTTTCCTCCCCAAATGAGCTCCAGCAGCCTTATGGGTAAAAGTAAACCATTGTGTATGTGAGTCTCCCCATCATTAAAAACGCATTAAGCCCTGAGCAGAACTTTGTAACCTGCACATAATCCAATAGACCGCAGCACACAACACAGTCTAAATGATGGAGCATGTTCAGGGTCAAAGGTCTCTAACTGTCATGTACCTACTGAGATTAATGACAGCTCCCACACTGTCCCCGAAGGACTGAGGCCACAGAAATGTAGTTTATCTATATATATACACTATCTGTGAAGAGGATATCCCAGTGTATGACCAGAGCAATATCTACCTCAATAAAGGAAGGAGGCACGACTGCTGAAGGTGAACCCTGTAAAAACAATACTGCGAGCTGCTGGAGACAGATAGACTTCTAATTCTAAAAGTAGTTTACAGTCTTTGAGCTGCAGTGTAAGAAATAACTGCACATTGGTTTATGACATCAAGAAACCCAAGATCATCGATTGTTATCTTTTCTTCCTAGTTGTATTATTATGTTCTTCAGTGTCAGCCTTTGGTAGTTAGGGACCACACATTAAAGGACATATTATGCAAATTTGACTTTTTTTTTGAGGTTTTAACCATGTTATACTGCTTTTTTCTCATAAAAATATATCTGCAGTTGTATTTTCTTTCATTCACATTGATTCATTAATCCAAAGTGCACTGAAAAATGTTCAGTTTTGCCTGAATTTTTGTGTTATAAAAATATGGCCTTCTGCGTGGATTTTAAGCCCACACACCATCACGACACGAGGCTTGTTCTGCAGTCAAATTGTGTTTGCAATGAATGCATGTCTCTATTAGCATAACATTCATATTGCTTAATGACTTTGACATTTGTTTATTTCCCATTGGTCATTCCCATTTTTAACAGTAGATGGAGCTACAGCACCTAAATATGCACAAATGACCAATTATTTAATCAACTACTAAGCGATCCCTGAACTACAGTGTTGCCTAGACTTTAAACATTTTAGTAAAAACAGATTTCATCTCATCTCTAAAATAAAGTCTGATTGAAGAACACAACTGTCCTATCTGTCTCATAAATTCAACTATATTATACCATATTCTAACACCAACGCAATTTCAATTTCTCCACAAATCTGCTCCTCTTCTGAACTTTACACTGGGGATCTTTAAACACATCCTTCTACATTCAATATACTCTCTTCTCTACATGCACAAACTCTTAGCCTGGCCTGTTTGAAAACTTCTAACTTCCTACTCATTCATTCCTTCCTACTCCTTTACATCCTTGCATTTCCATTTTGCTCCTTCGTCGCCTCAGTGCCGCAGTACACACCATCGTCATCAATCTCAATGCCTACAAAACAAATGTAGATGTCTCTGCACAACTGTGGTTCTGTTGTATCTCCACCATAAACCTCTCATCAAATTGAACCAATCACCGATGTCTGGAGAAATAATTGACTGTATGATGGCAATGATTAGTGCATTAATTTGGATTTGACTGATCGTAACTCCGCACCGCCCTCTTCTGTACTGTTACCTGACGGAGATTCCTTGTTACTTTCACATCATGCCAATCATTGTCATTAAATTTCCCAGCGACCGGCTCCACCAGCGCTTCAAAGGCCCCAGAACCCAAATTAATGACGAGAGACACGGCTCCGTTTTTCAGGGCCAGGTTGACGTAATCGGCCGATTTGCCAGTGTGGAGCATGAGTCCGTTCCTCTGCAGGGTTTTGAAGGACAGCGTAATTTCGTCACTGCTGCTTTGAATGGGGTTCAAGGACAAGTCGTAGCAGAAGAACTCGGATCCTTTGAAGGTGGTGACGTACTCTTCTTTACCTGCGAGAGACAAAAGGGAGAGAAAACACGCAGCGTCACTGTGGAGGTCTTAAGAAGTCTTTTATGGAAGCTTAGAAGGAACAAATGTGAAAGGAGTGAAGCAAATATTGTTGTGGGTAAAAGTTAGGGACAGAGTTGAATCCAGTGTAAAAACATGACAGATCAGCAATCACCAGACATATGAGCAGCTGGTCCAATACAATAGAAAGGGAGCAGCTGGAAATAAGAAAATGTCAACATGTATACTCGGATATTGAACTTATGGTAAATTATCTAGTGCAGTGTTTCCCAAACTTTTTTTTTCAGGGGACCCCTATTTTTTAATTATTTGTAAATCACAAAATAAATGTGGATTTGACCATTATTGAACATTAATGAAGATATTTTTTTTGTTGACTGAGTGATCGTGTCCCTCTGAACAATTAGTATTACTCAAGTTTTAAACAATGAAAAACAATCATTGAACCAGCAATAAAAGGATCCACAAGTCGCCTATTTGGACATTAAATGTGACCTATTACTTTATCTTTTCAGCATTCAATTGAACCAGCAATATCGGAACAATAGTCAATAAATAGTCAATAAAATAATTTTTAAAAGATTAGAAATGATAAAAAACATGTCTTAACATTTCAACCTAAATACAGATCATGACAAGGTGACCCCAAAAAAAAAAATCTCACTATTTGGGAAACAATGATCTAGTGTACATGAAAATAACAATGCATTCATTACATAAAGTGAAGTACACTTGTTCATATCCCATTAGGCAATTTTTCCTCTGCAGTTGACCCAAATTCAGCGCCGCCGGGGTACCTCATCAGGAGCAGTGCACGTTGACCCATCTCCAGATTTTAGCCATTACTTTACCATGAGGATTTTATTGAGCATGTTGTGTGTATGACAACATCGATCACAAAAAAAGTGTGTGATTTCTGCACTTTTCAATGTAATTTCTATAGATCTATAAAACTAGAAGGGCTAGGGCAGGTCTGTAAATATTTCAGCATTTTAGATCTCATTATGGCATTTAAAAGTGTATTGTGTGACTTTTCTGGTGGAGGTTCTATTAAATGCTTTCACAGTATGATAATGAATCTTCATGCAGACCAAACCAGACCAAGTTACAGGTCAGATCTCCGGAGAAGCAACCCCATTCACAGACAACTAGTACCTAGTTTTTCTAGGTATTTTTAAGCTATAAAACCACCTGTAATTGAAAAAATGTAGAAAGTGTAAAAAGTAGCGCTTGTCTCATACTGTGGAACATTCCAGGCAGAGCAATGACATAACCATAGGAACAAGCAGGTGACAGACGCTCTACCAGGAAAGTTACACAATGCACAGCTACAAGATGTGCCTAATAAAGTGGCAATCAAATAATAGGCCTGTGTCTTCTATTTCCCAGTGTCCCAGATCAATTACAAGCTGATGTCCTACACAACAACAAGCACAAAGCATTTTCCAGTCTCTATAGTCTCTACTCTATTTTCTTACACATCTACAGCATAGAAGAAATGTATCTGCCTGTTCCACTAGGCTCACAAACATCCAGGACTACAACAAGGCAAGAGTAACCTTGAGATACACCTTTACACTACCCCAGCAATAGAAAATATTGTGCTATGTGCGTCAGTGGATGATGCATGTGGACACCCATTAGAGAAGGCATCCAAAAACAAGTCTGGACACGCTATTAAAGACACCAGCAGAAAATAACCGGACAAAAACACGAAAGCACCAAAGCGTTCAATTATAACTGGTCTTGAGAAAGATATATTTGGTTCCTAAACAAACACCTGCTCACTTGTTAAGGAGGAACCAGCCACAGATGCAACAATGTACCAAATAAAAGGGGTTGCTGTCTCCACCAATTTGTCACACCATTGATTCCCCCTTAAAGGCACTATACGGCTGCTGTGGGACGGACTCGGAGGGGCCTGTAATTGAAGTTGACTAGATCGCATCACTCTTTGCCCGTCTTAGCCCCCTATCAGTGGAAATAAGGGACCCGTAGACCTCTGGCTCTCCCCGGCTGTCCTTCAGTCCGGTAGCAAGGGAGCGGAGACCGAAGCACAAATAGGGCGCCAAGTCGGGGTCATTCTCATCTCGCCGTTTCGTACCCGCATGCCCACGCTCGTACACTTAATTCGGTAGAGCGGTTCGGAAGCGAATGGGGAGGAATTTACAGTGATCGGGCCTGAGTCCAAACAGATAAAATGAAAATACCCCTTGAGGAGCTGAGTTTAAAATGATTTGCTGGGGTTGCTGTGAGTGAGCAGGTACTAAACAAAATCATAACAAGACCTATACATTTCAATGATAAGTAAAACTGATTATCTGACATATTGCTACCCTGGATACATGTTTTGCTTTCTCTAAATAAACCTTAAAGGGTCCATATTACGCTATTTTCTGATCTATGTTATAAGAATGTTTCCTGATTACAAACTTACTTGGAGTTGTGTTTCACTTACATGTTTAACACACAAATCCTGCATATTTCGTTTAGTTCCTCTCAAACAGAAAACTCAGCTCCACCTTGTGATGTCATGTGATAAAACAGGTGCTCTGCTGTGTTTTTAAACTCCATACACCTTATCTGGAATCATTTGTATGATTTCAGCCCTGGAATTCCCATTTTCTATTGAACAAAAGGTAAAAGATAGCTGTTAACTTGAAAACTATGATTACATGACATCACAAGGTGGAACAGAGCATTTTGAGCTTTGGAGAAAACTAAAAATACAGGATTACTAAAACATGTGAATGAAACAAAACACAACTCCATGTATGTTTTTGAGGAGATAGCAGCATGGTTAAAAGCTCACAAGTGTCAATTTGTGTAATTTAGGAGCAATTTTGCATAGTATAGGAAATAAATACAAAATATGTGGAATAAAATCACATCAACACATTACTAATGATCTTTCCCTAGTAATTTATAACAAACTGGACCATGACTGGCAATGAAGAGACAGTGTTAAGAAAATAAATATGTCTAAAATGTATGCTTATAGAAAACAGAGGAACATAAATATATAACTTTAAAAAATGAATCAAAAACTGTCTAGATTTGAGATGTGAGTTTGAAATAAAGTGCTCCCAAGATGGCTTCTACAGTCACAACACAATCAACCAAATAAACTTGTTTTTTTCCAAAGGGAATAAGGGAGTGAAAATCTATTTCCATTTCTCTGTAATTGTCTGTGAAATGTGAACTGCATTGTAATTACTGACTCCACAAAACATGCTGTAGCCATTTTTCATTTTCATTGACACTCTAAATTCTCTCTATCATTACTGTAATATGACTTTGTTTGATGAAAATACCTGACAGGACCCCCAACTGCATCAGAAACAAACACTTTTCTAAAAGGGTTTGTGTAGTGCAGATTTCGCAAGTCATATTTGAGAGACTCTTATTTAGCTACAAAGTCCCACATTGCCTCTGAAGTCAGAAAAGTGTCACATTTGTGTCAACATAACTCCTTTAATGGCATCCAAATGAATTCACATATTTTTAGACGAGAGCAACCTACCTCTGGATTTTTGATCCAGGTTTTACTGGGTCACACTTTAGATCTTAGTGGCGTATTTCATGTATTTCGTAAGTGTCCTCTGGAGATATTTGGTGTGCCCAGACTGCTGTGGCTCTGACCTGCTGCTGGCACCTGAATGCCCTCGAGTCCTGACACTCAATGGGGGCGCAGATAAGAGAAGTCTCCCCGAGTCTGAGTGTGTGAGAACAAAGAACAGGAAAAACAAGAGCAGCACCATGGATAGCTCCCAGCGACCTGCCCTAAATATAGATAAGACCTCAGTGTTCAGACTAGGTGCATTCAAAATATATTTGGAGTGGAAAAAATACTAATTCACAACATGATGTTACCATTAAGGGAGTGTAAGTTAAATGGTATCATAGCAACAGCTCAATCAACAGATATGTACTGAAATGTTCTTCACTTCAAAAATCCCATATTAGGCTATTTTCTCATCTATGTTGTAATGTTGTTTTCTGATCACAGACATACCTAGAGTTCAGTTTTGTTTCATTCACACATGTCTAACACACACCCTGCATATTTCTCAAATAGAAAACACCCTGTTCCACCTTGTGATGTCATGTGATAATACAAGATGTGCTCCATAGTGTTTTTAAATTTCGTACCTTCTCTTGAATCATTAGGGTGATTTCAGACCTGGAATAGCCTATCTCTACTGAACAAATGGTAAAAGGAGCTGTTAACTTGAAAACTACAACTTCATGACATCACAAGGTGGAACGGGGCATTCTGAGAGACGGCGGTTTGGAGCCGTAGACAGACTAATAAAACAGGATTACTCAAAAATGTGTGAAAGAAAAACAAAAACAAAACACACGCACACAACTCTGGTTATGTTTTTGATGAGGTAATAACATTATAACACGGCTAAAATCTCACAAGAATCAATTATGTGCAATACAAGACCTTTAACCTTAATGTTCCTTGGTATGGCATTAAACCTGTCAATCCTGCATTATTCACTTACAGTTATTTTCATGACTAAAATATGCTTTACTGTGAGCTGGGTCGCTTCTTCACAGACCTGACCTGTAACCTGCCGTTGTGGTGTCACCTCATTGTCTCCATGGAGATAAATAGATTTAATGCCATACTGGTCAAGCACGCAGATAAGCAGGTGACAAGTTAGTTACTCCAGTCCAGTACAAGGTTAAGAATACTAAAACTAAATTTTCTTATATGGCCTTGGTATAACTACAGTTTTGAAACTGACAAATGATGGTGGCAAAAAAAGAAAAGAAAAAAGAAATAATAATAATTTTGACCGTGACAATGAAAAACTGCTCGAAATCAATGTAGCCAAAAATTTTGATATTTTTCAAGTTAAATAAACTGTCACTTAAATGCATATAAACCACAGACTGCGTAAACAAGTGGACTAAGCGAGTGTGACGCCAACCATAGTGTTCGTCCCCAGTCAAATGAAGCTCACAA